GTTGTCCTGTTCACATCAGCAGCTCCATTGTTTTAGTAGGAAATATGACTGGTGGATTGCCTTACTAAGACTCAATTAAAAGCTAACACGGTCCTTTACTCGCTTTAACAATTTCTATGCCGAGTAAATTCCACAAAACATGCAGGGCCCTGTAACTGCAGGGCGGAGGGATGTGGGTGGTGAATTGTACTGCAATGCAGGACCAGCTGTGCAACCTGCCTGTTGCCACATACCCTTGGGGTCCTCCAGCTCCCCGCTGCAGACGTCCTTGACTCGGGAGAAGAGGTCGGCTCCAGCCAGGCGCTTGGAGATGCCTGTCCTCAGGAGCACCGCCCCCGGAGTGAACTTCAGCAGAGCTGCTCCGGCCTCCCGGGACTCCTTCTTCTGCTTAGGCATCAGGCTGGACCAATCCACGTCAATCACATCCAGAGGATCTGCAACACGGCCCACACCGCTTTCAGCTCTGTGCACGGCAGTCCGCCACAGGAAGGGAAGTCTGTCTCCTTCACCCTTACTAACATTACCTACTTAGTCAATGATATTCTGCCCCCCCCAAAAAGACTTAACAGGCCAAGACAATTGTGCAAAATATTCCAAAGCCGTTCATTTTTTACAGGAGCACACACCCGAGCCTTCTTTAAAAGCATGGGCACGAGGAAAAGCACTGAAAACTGCTCTGCTAGAACATAAATCCTGATCTCTTTATAAAGGACCTTTCATGGTGGATCTTGCAGAACTTTAGTTTTAGAGGCAAGGCTCTTGAATACAGAATTAAAGGCTAGTTATAAAAGTGAACTGTGCCGGTGATGGTTGCTGGTACATCACCAGGCACTGAATGTAAATTAAGCAGTAAGCATCTTAGAAAAATGCTATATAAAGATCCTTTTAATTATGAAGGTTATCCGTCTCCAGCAATACCTGGCATATTTTCTTCATCCTGATGGTCTTCTTTCTTCTGTGCGCTGTCGGCCAGTATCTCGTCCAGCTCATCATCGCTGATGGGCTCATACTCCTCTCCTCCTGACACCATGGACTGCACTTCATCTGCTTTCCCATCATCCTCACCTACAGGAAGACGCATGAAGGGTCACAAAAGCACCTTCACCGTGGGACAGCTGTGACAGCACAAGGCTTGTGAAGAGTTACATCTGCCCCAACCAAGCATTTCATATCTAAGGTGCTTCTGATAAAAGCATCTGCCAAATGAATAAAGGTAAATCTAAACAAAATGCAAATGAAAATCAGATGCCAAATAGGCGAAGTGTCTCAACATATGTGTTGTACATGCGTACATTTTAGGTATCGCCTACAAATGCCTTCCAAGTGAAAACGGGACAAAGAAAAGTATCCCAGCAAAATGTCACAAATTCCTTAAATTGGTAGTTCAATATTCATGAATTTGGATTGTGTGTGGGAACTGTGCAGAGATGCCATTGTTATGAGCTAGATTGCGTGTTAGGGGTTGAATCAACTTGAAGCACAGCAAAAACGCCGTAAGTGCACTTTTGAAACGGTACAATGCCGATTCGGAATGTCAATGTTAAGGCACAATCAGGACATCCACACGCATCAACACCGGCACCAGACGAAGGAATTGGGGTTCCACACTTCTGTTGCCAGAAGCTGAAGGCTACAACCATCATTTGACTCTGCAATTCACATTGACGCCCCTAATCGATATTAATGCAGATCAAGGTGCTTAGACAAGGATGATTACACACTGCTTTAGGAATGCTTCATGGATTGCAGATCTAATTATTTTCTGAAACATTTTAAGGCAGTATTTAATGACCGATGCAGCTCATGTCTTTGAGTGAATACAAGGAACTGTGAAAGACAAAGCTACACATAATACTGTTGTAAAGCAGAATTATTTAGTGCTATTTAGTGTCTGAAATCACGGGTAATATTTCTTTAATAAAAGGCAAGAATCTGGGGACAGATGTTTCCTCAATCCTCTTTCCTAAGCCAAACCCCTCTGTATTTCAGTGACTCTACCATCTACGCTGTCCGGCTTCTCCGTTTCCTGCACGTCCTCCGTGACACGCAGGGTGTCCAAAGTCTTTTCCGGCCTGACTGCCTCAGAGGTCATGCTCTCCCGCGGCACGGGCTCCAAGTCCCTCTCCGGCTTTGGCTCAGTCCTTTTCATCTCGCTGTGCGCCGGGGCCTCCAGGAGCCTCTCGCGGTCCCGGTCTCTCTCGTGGGCCTCGGGCGGGTGCCTCTCTCTCTCGGGGTCAGCGTCCCTCTTCCTCGGCTCCCGGCTCCGGACGGGCTCCCTGCCGCGGCCCCAGTCCCGGCCGTCCTTGCGCTCCCTGTCCCTGTCAAACGGCTCCCGGTCCCTCTCCCGCTCCCTGCTGTCATAGGACCCCGCTCGGGAACGAGCCTGGCGCTCCGACTCCGGGGAACTCCGGCGCGAGCTGTGGCTCCGGGAATCCTGGCGGTCTGGGGAGAAAGAAACAAAACAACCCTCCTGTTAAAAAAAAAAAATACACAGACTCCTGAAATCATTTTTAGTCCATTCGGCTCTTTGAAAGTGGATGACATGGAAGCTGTGAACAATTAGCAACACTGTCAAAGAAGATGCGAGCTGCATCATCCTCGTTCTATATCATCCATCCGTGATCAGGATCCCACTTCTCCTAGGCACGGCTTGCAGCAATCCTAAAATTATCCCGGAAAAACAGGGGCTGCCAGTCTATTGTGGGGCACAGACTGGTCTCTGTAAGGAAAACTGAAGAGACAACTGAGTGTCTTTGCAAGGAGGGAAGAAACCAGCACACCCAGAGAAACCTTAATGAATATGGGAAGAACATGCATTGGGTTACAAAAAACATCAAATGATATTGCCTATATTTCGGTAATACCGCAGTGCTCTTAAACCTAGTGTCTTGCAAAAGATTCTGCAAGTCGCAATTTGTCGGATTCCTCTTTTCTCCAACTCTAGGTCACACCTCGTGGCCCCAAGACAATTCACGTGGTGGCCATTCATGCACTAATGCCATATTATCTCCCATATTGATATCTGATCCATTTTAATTACTAAGAAGTATATTTAGGATCAATATCCTGCTGAAAAAAGTATCCCCCCTTGTAGTTCCTAAAAACCCAGATAATGACAATAATAAACTTTATTTTATATAGCACCTTTAAATGTGGCTTCTCAAAGCACTTTACAGAAAACAACAACAATAAAACTACACAAATTATGCAAGATATGCGCAATGAAAATACACAATGAGAGGAGACAGTAGATGGGGGTACTGAATACAGTAGGAGCAGAGGGGTGAAGAACAGAACCAGTTAAGTAAAGGCCCTTCTAAAAAAGTAGGGTTTGAGTCTAGATTTGAAGGAGTTTAGGGAAGGTAACTCTGATATCCTTAGGGAGAGAGTTCCAGGGTGTAGACGGACTTGGGGGACAGATGGGAGACCAGAATTAGAAGAGAGAAGGTTGCGAGGTGGGGAGTAGGATGATAGTATTAGACAGGTACCGAGGTGCTGAGCCATGCAGAGCCTTATAGGTGAGCATGAGGATTTTGAAGTCAACACGAAACCTGACGGGAAGCCAGTGCAGGGACTCCAGGATGGGAGTGATGCGATCACTGGCACTAGACCTGGTCAGGATTCTGGCCTCCGAACTTTGGACATGCTGGAGTTTATTTAGATATAGAAACTCCAGCAGGCAGAGTGTTACGGTAGTCAATTTCGGGGAAAGACAAACGTGTTGATGTGCAAAACAAACACCGCACCACCGCCCCCGGGCGGTTCAGAGGAGCTCTCCGCTGGTCTTACCCGACGACGTGCTGCGGCTGGGCTCCCCGCGCTTCAGCTGATCGATGCGGGATTTCCTCTCCACGGGTAGCTCCACAGCAGAGCCCTTGTCTCTGTCGCGGTCTCTGTCCCGGTCGCGTGAGCCCCCCTGGAGCCTCCTCCTGCGGACGCCGTGGTCCTCCCCGCCGCGGTGCGTCGACTCGCTGGAGGGAGACCTGAGGTGGCGCGAGGACGCGCGGCTCTGGTTGCTACACTGGCTGTTGCTGCGCTTCTGCTCCGGGACTTTGCGCAGGAGGTGCTGGGGCATCAGGGGCTGCAGGGTAATCGGGGGCTGCTGCAGCAGAGAGGGCGGCTCTTGAGCCAACAGAGGAGCGATCGGCGGTTCTGCTCTCTCTTTGCCCTTCAGTCCCTTCTTGGGAGCCTCCGGCGGGGCTCTCTCTCTCTCGACAGGAGGCAGCGAGACCATGTCGGCCCGCTCGGGGACGTCTTCGTCGGACCAGTCGCTGAAGGTGGCGTCGGCCTTGTGGGGCGGGCAGGCCCCCGGGGCAGGAGTCTTCTCGGGAGCCTGGGCAGGGTAGCCGTCCTTGACGGCGGACGGCCCCAGCAGGGGCGGCGTCCTCGGGCCCCGCTTCTTCTTGCTCGGCGGCTGGGCCGCCTCCTCTTCCGAGATGTCGGACTCCCCGCCTCGCGAGTGCTTGCGCTTCTTCTCCACCGTCTTCTTCTTGGGCCCCTTCCTGGGGGACTGCAGCGGCGCCTCTTCGGCGGCCGGCGCCGGAGGCTCCGGGTTGAACCTCTCCGTCCCGCTGCCTCCATCCTCCTCCTTGCGGTTCTTCTTCAGGCCCTTCTTCTGGGACTTGGTCTTCTTCTTGCCCTCCTCGTGGGCGGCCTCTCTCTCTTCCGCGGGCGGGTCCAGCGGCTCCTTGCCCCTGCGGGGGTCCGGGCCCCCTGCCGTGCCAGTGTCCAGGAGGTGATCCCTCTGCCGCTCTGCTCTGGCAGCCCCCCGGTCTCGGAGATCGGGCTCCTCGTGCCTCGTCCTGGTGCCGTCTTTCCGCTCGGCCTTCCGGTCCTCCTCCTTCCAGCGGCCGGCCTTCTCCTCGGCGGCGGGGCGCGGCGGGGAGCGAGACGGGTCCTGGGGTCGCACCACCTGGCTCAGCAGCCTGTGCTTCTCACCTGGCGGGACAGGGCAAATTTAAAAGGGACACTATGAGTCAATGAAACTAACAGCCTTAGTAATGACAACGATACAAATGCACTGTCCAGGAGGTCATCATCCAAAGGATACATATTTTTCTACTGGTGACTAAAAATCAATTTTAATTGGCTGATATAATTATTTATAAGCATCTTTGTAAGGTTTCCAGAACTCCCCCTTGGACTATAGGCACATAGATTTTAAATTCTACTTTTCCCACTGTTTAATACAATCTGCATCTATTGCCTTAAAGAAGAGGCTGCAGACCAAGCTCCACCGGTCAGTGTGGAGTGCTGTACGTCTTGTGCTTAGGAGGCTTACTTTTCTCCTCTGCGCTGTTGTAACCGTCACTGTCTGGGCTGGCGTCTCTAGCTCTCTTAGGGGAGGGACGTGGGCTGGGGCTGCTGTCCACACGGTGCCTCTTCCGGCTGCGCAGGGGGCGAGAGACAGAGGCAGGATTAAACGCCGCACACCGCCGCGGGAAAAAACGACAAGCGACGCAACACAAAACGTCAGATCAGGCATCTACATTTTTTTTAACTGGCACCTGGATTATAAAAACAGACCGCTGATTTGTAAATGTCCAACGTAACACTAGCGTTGTCGAGTGACACCGTTGGGTCACCCCGAGGACCCTCACCTGGGCTTCCGGTCTTCGTGCGCGTCCCTGACGACTCGATCCTCTCGCTGTTCGTCCCGCCGGTCTCGTCGCTCCTCCCTTCCTTTGTCTCGGTCGTCCCAGTCTCTCTGCCTGTCCCTCTCGCGCTGCTCCCTCTCGCGCTCCCTGTCCTTCCTCTCCCTCTCCCTCTCCTCCCTCTCGCGCTCCCTCTCCCTGTCCCTCTCGCGCTCCCTCTCCCGCTCCCTGGCTCGCTCGCGCTCCGCCTCCCTCTCCTTCTCCCGCTCCTTCTCCCTCTCCCTCTCCTTCTCCTTCTCCCGCTCCCTTTCCCTCTCCCGCTCGCGGTCCCGCTCCCTCTCCCTGGCCCGGTCTTCCCGCCTGTCCTCCCCCCTGTCGGCCCTGCGCTCGTCCCTCCTGTCCTCTCGCTCCGGCTCGTCGCTGCGGCCCTGGTGCCTGGCGGGCGAGGCGGCTCTCTGATCTGAAACACAGCAGCGGGGCGAAACACCTGAGTCCTCCAATACGGCAGAGGGGGGTGAGACAAAGCGCTACATGAGTGACCGCGGAGGGCGCTTCATCTGCCTGGAAGCTGTACCGCTACGTGGATTCTCCATGTAGCGCGGCATGCCAGGGATCTTCTGGCAAATCCTCTTGCACACGGCACGCATCTGCATACAGCTCAAGACTCAAGGCTAATAACAGCTGTGATTGCTACGAATAATCAGATATTTGGGTGCAATGTTTGAGGTAATCAAATATCAGGTAGTCGTTATCATGCTCATTCGTTGTTATCTGGTTTAATATACACTGCCAGTCGGAATGATGGGGACACCACACCTGGAAACCCTCTGAAGAGGATACCACAAGCTGGGCGAAATGCGCAAATTGCAATATTAAAGTAACCGGTCTCCACATTGGCGAAACTTATTTTGTCCGTGTCATAACATGCCACTACCGATGCAAGGGGGAGACAAGAGGTCTTTAGTCCTATACTAGGGGGTTGCAACATGAAACATTCCACATACCCCTGCTGTAAGGAAACTGCAGCCGTGATTGCTAAGAACAGTCGAATATTTGGAGGCAGTGTTGGAGGTAATCAAACATCAGGTACTAGTTATATGTTCAACGTAGTTTAAAGTACACTTGCACCTAGTGTCCAATCTAACCTTGTGAGCACAGATTCGGCAAAAGCAGGTGATTTAAGTTTCAACAAATGGAAAGGCTTAACCACGCCCTGTAAGGAGGTCAAGAAGAACCCGCCTGACAGTGTGGGAACTGACCACCGCGGAGACCGGTCTACGCCTCTCACCTCTGTCCCTGGCGTCCCGGCGATCGCGCTCCGCGTGACCGCCCCGCCGGTCGAAGGACGCGTCGCGGGCCTGTTCCCGGCGGTCGGCCTCGTAGCGCTCCCGCTCCGCCCCCCTGTCGGAGCCCCGCTCCGCGTAGCTGCCGCGCGACTCCCAGTTCTCGTGGAAACTGCTGCCGCTGCCGCTGTGGCCGTCTAGCTGGGCCCCCCGCGAGCCGCGGATGCCTGACGTCAGAAGAGAGGCTGCTTTAAAATGGGTGAAAAAGACTCGATGACGTCCTTGCATAAGCCACAGGCTAGTCTTCATCTTCCACTAGACTGCCTTTCTTTAAAGAGAAAGACGATTCCTCGCACACTCCCTGTCTTAGAGCTCATTCGGCCCCCAAACGCGTGGACTAAAGGTGGCAAGAAGTGAATAACTGCAGTTACAACCAGTTACTTCATATTTTTAATGAGGGACAAAACGGGTACCATCAAAGTTCTGGCTCCAAACCACGTAAGGGGGACCGTTTTCTTAAAAGTTTCATCACTAGTAGCCTCCTGAAGCTTTGTGTTTGAAGAGATCTGGACTTGATGGAAACTGCAG